GTGCGTGCGTTGTTGAGTGTCTAAGTTGTACTGTGTAACGACAAAAAAAAGTATATGAATGACGTTAATGTCGTTATACTTGAAATGAATTACATATTCATAATGTACTTGTTTGATATCGTGGATGTGATATTTTTCTCTATAACATAATAACATTTGTCACACATGAATTAGTTTAACACCATGATTTATTGTGACACCATGATTTTCGTTGCAATACATATAGGTTATTGCGACAATGATCGATTTTGGTTGCGATAGAAGGACATGTTGCCACGAATTGTGTGGTCTTGCGATTTTAATTTCGGTGGTTGCAATAAGTATGATGTATCGCAACACACAAATGTGTGTTGTATTTAGGGAATAGTTGTTGCCATTTTTTTCTAATGGTTGCAATAGTTGAGAATGTCGCAACGAATAACATTGTTATTAGTTCTATCATGTGTCGGGAAAGAGCCAATGTTATGGCAACATAAAAGTAAGTTGTTGGAAAAGCACACTTAGATATAGCAACAGAAGCCTTATCGTTGCAACAAGCCTTAGATATAGCAACGAAAACCGATTTAAAAAAAAAATATTGCCATATATATCACACCTTTTTTTTTTTAACTCGAATGAGTATTGTTCCCTTGAAACTTTTATTTACTTGATAATCTCGATCAATCCATAGCATGCTTTAATAGGATGCAGCCTGGTAGATCTGACAGCAATTGATTCCAACTCTGAGCATCTAAAGCTAAATGATAATGGGTGAAGAATAGATAGCTTTTGCCAACACTTCGCTGTAGGGAAAGGTAGTACATGGTGTAGTGTAATCCAGCTTACAGTTTCATGTTTCCTCTGCCATTAATCACTATCTGTAGAACATTGACTGCTTGTTCATACAATATAAACCTAGGCGTAGGTATTATCCATCAAAAGAACCTTCTTAAACAGGCTCAAAAATAACTTTGGAAACATGTCTATCCATCATGTATGATGGACAATGAGTAGCATAGTAAGAGCTTCTCACAATATTCCACAATGTTTGCTTGGTCATGCGGTTGCTAGTGCCATCATCCGACCTCAGGAGGAGATTCTGAGCAAGCTCCTGCATAGCCCACTCGATTTCCTTGTTAATGCTCGATTCCTTATCCTGTAATTTGTGCCATTAATTTGACTTGTTATGTCAGAAACTAAACAAAGAAATTTATAAACATTCTTCAAACAAACTTAACTAAACTTAAATTATTCTCGCCAAAAACTCAAACTATGATATTGCTTCGAGTTTGTTTATTGCTAGGCGGAATAAATTGCAGGTTAGTCATTTCAAGGTTCAGACGAACTCAGATGATGGGCTGACTGATGCCTAATATAGTCATTTAAAATGGAGAGTGAAAATACTATGTAATACAGGTTACCTGAGAAAATAATACGTTACGGTAAATACTGTCACAAACAGAGCAGGAGAGTTGAATAAACTGGTCATTATCCTTGTTGTTGATCATAGATGAAGAGTCACCAATTCGTCCTGCGCAAATCTCAATAATTTGAAATAAAAGCAAACATGTTTGCCCATCATGAACCATGTACCGTGGTCCCTTAACATAGGAACTGCTACATTTTCCCCTTTCTTTCTTTATTTTTTGCATCATCCATTGCGTCCACTGGAAGAAGAGACCAAGATATTAGAATGGTTTTGAGCAAAGAAAAAATGTTTATTTACAAATAAGCATCCCCTTTTTAACTTACAGCTTGACTCAAGAGATTGCGGACATAATTTTCTCCTCCGTGAACTGGTTGCGCTTCTTGTGCGATTAATTCAGTAAGTTGGGAAAGTGTCTTCGTGATAATAGCATCTTTTTGGTTTCTTTCTAGCCTGCATCCATCATTTTTTTTCTGGGAATAAGTATTCACTCAACTCTCTCTCTCTCTCTCTCTCTCTCTCTCTCTCTCTCTCTCTCTCTCTCTCTCTCTCTCTCTCTCTCTCTCTCTCTCTCTCTCTCTCTCTCTCTCTCTCTCTCTCTCTCTCTTCCGGTTTTAATGACATAAAAATGATACACCCTCCGGTTTTAAATATGTGATACAGTTGATTTTCTTGTTACTTTGATCATTCGTCTTATCTATAAATATTTGTAAAAATAGCTAAATGTATAAGTTAACTTTAAAGTGTTTTTTTATGATAAATCCAATGATATCCATTTCACGCTACATAACTAATTATTATTGTTGGTCAAAGTTCAAGGAAAAAATCAATAGTGTATTTGAAACCGATTGGATCAATAGTTTCTCTATTTTAGTGTAAGAATAAAACATCAAAGTTACATTTAAATCTACCAAGCCACAAGGCAAGTCATAGATGGATACAATAATGGTCCGTCATGTTAAGCTGTACTCACCACATCACATCAGCTTCTTCATCATAGAGACAACGCGCAAAATATTCCACTCTTTTCTTATCCTGTAGATTGTTATGAAAATGTTCAGAAATTGTGTTGGCAAGCAATACCGCTCTAGCCCATGCAAGCCGCTCGGCAGCACGGTATGGTTCAAAAGTGCAAGCAACAGCGAGAAAATAATATCTCAAAACATCTTCTGGTGTCACTCCAAAGATCTCAAGCCCATTCTCCATGCACCACCTAAATATATATAGCACCAAAAAATATTAAGATTAACAGAAGTTACTCCTTGAAAAATGATATTCACCTAAAATAAAACTGAATTTATATTGCGCACATTTGAAGACCGTAAACCTCAAGCTGATGTAGAACTTGGCAGCAGTTGAAATCATTTCTTGCCAACTCATGATATACATTGTTATTCACAAGAGGCATCCTGCCGAAATACATATTCAAATGGAAATAAATTATATCTGGTAAAGATTTCAATAAAGAGTATATCATGGTCCATCACCACCTTTTCAGTTGATCAAGTACATACAAAATGTTACCTGTAGAGAGTCTTCCCGATCCAAACATCATTGTTACCACCATATTGATCGAGATAGATTCGTGCCTCTACACGGGGCAAGCTTGCATACCATGGAAAATCTAGCGTATATTGTACCTATTGAATGGTGTTAGCATTTCTGTTGGTACATCTAAGGCTAATTAAAATAATCCTCAACATATAACTATATAACAAGCTCGAAAATTTTTAAACAACACAATGTCACAACCAAGGTTTACAAAACCGATGGAAGCCGACTGGGTTTCGCGGAAACCGGACTTACCGGTCCGGTCCGATTTCCTCGGTTCACATTTCCATTTTTAATTTTGATTTGTTTTGAGAAATTGGAAAAATTTGAAGCAAAATGTGTAAAAAAAGCCTATATAGAATTTGGATGAGAATGGTGGAACAAGACACAAAAATAAGTTTATTGGTCGCCAAAAAAATGCCGGAAGATTTAAGAGTGGAAAAAAAAGGAAAGGAAAACCCATCTTATCCCCACTATCCCCACTGAATCATTGGTCGGGCGCCCACATCTTCACTTCCCCCTCGGTCTCCCTGGCTGCGCCACCCCGTCCACTGCTGTTCAACGTCATCCAGCAACTGGAGCTGCCCCCCGTCACCGTCTGAAGCTATTGGACCAGCTAGCCGAGACATATAGTAGCTAACTGACGTGGCAGCTTGGAACGCCGATCAACGTGAGGCAGCTCGGCATGCGTTCCTTTGGCGCACCTCAACGCGGCGCTTCTCTGCCTTGGAGTCGATGCATCGGCTCCGAGCTTCGCCTCTCGGTCTTCGAGTATTACCTCTTCTGGTTTGCACACTACCCCATCTCCACAGCCGCCATCACCACCACAACCACTAACACCCAAAAAGCACCGCTGTTCACTTTGAAACCCTTGGTGAAGTTGCGTAGCCACCTCGAGAGTTGAGTGTTGACCCTCGTCTGTCTGCGCGGCCGGTCGTGGTCCCTCTTTTGCTCAATGCATCAAATCTTTTCCTCAGTCCCTCACCCATCCCCTACTCCAACTACATCTGGCACGCAACGTTTCCCGGCTCCTCTCCTTCCCGCATGCGACTCCTGCCCATTTGCAGCCTTCCTGCCCAGCTGTCGCCACTCGCCGGAGCGACACCACCCGCTATCCCCGAGACACAAAATGACATCCCAGACCTAGCCCACATTTGCGCGACTCAATTTGGGTGGCACGGTGCCTCCAAACCGTCATAATCCGGGGCTCTTCCCTGGCTCCGAAAATCAAGGGCCGCCGCCGCCCACTTCTAGAAAATTTGCCTATTGCCACGAGTTGCATTGCAACAGCACAAACTTGATTGCAATAGGTAGGTGTTATCGCAGCCACTTGCAAAAATCGTTGCAATATGTCAACAATACTGCCACGGATATCATAATCTTGGATTTCATTGCAAGAGGTAGAGCTATGGCCACCATTTTTAAAAGGGTTGCGTTTGGTATTTGCAACAACTCATAAATTGTTGCGATAAATTTTAGATATTGCAACGATATACTAGTGTTGTAATATTTCAAAAAATGGTTGCAATACATATAAGTGTTATAGCCACAAACAAAAAACCATTGCGTTAAACAAATCTATTGCAATTTTGCTATTGCCACGTTTTTTATGTTAAGAAAAAAAAATACAATATTATCCGCAACCTTGACATGATCAACAGCACTAGTGCAGTGGTAAAGTGATCTTTGTCAAGAGTGAAGGTCCCAAGTTCGAATTCTGCTAACAACGTTAATATTTTTTTTGTTTTGTTGCCACAATAAAATATTGTAGCAATATTATTATTTGTTGCAACTTATATCTATTGCAACACTTCATTTTGTGGCAATTATCATAGGTAATGCAACCAAACATAAAAAATGTTGCAAAAGGCTATTGCCACGCTACTACCAACGACCGCCCATGAAAGTAAATTTGTTGCTGTAAGAAGATATTGCAACAAAAATGACCTTACTGCAATGATATTTCATCGTTGCAATATGCCGTTTTTTTAGTAGAGGCCACCCTTATGCTTTCCTTGCTCAATTTTCAAGGCACGGTGCGAAAGAGCCTGTAGCTTAGTGGTTACGAAAGCCTCAGTAGCATCCGAGGTCCTGGGTTCGATTCTCGGTGGGAGCAAATTTTCTAGGATTTAACGACGTTGTGCTTTCAGCGGTAGGCGACGTGGCCGTCGACAGCGAGGCGCCAGTGGTGACTTCGTCAATCTGAAGGATTTACCGGCTCAGTCTTTGAAGATGCTCATAGGAGTAGGATTTGCATATGTGCGTTCATAGAGGTGAGTGTGCGTGCGTTGTGAGTGTCTTAGTCGTATTGTGTAATCACAAAAAAAATTGCAAGGCGCGGACACACAAAGCTGTGCGGGCAGCGGACATCCATGGCTGCGGAGGCGCAGGCACGAAAGCAAGTAGTTCGGACGCACGGCGCTGCACGCGGCTCGACGTGCGCATCCATGAATCCAGCCTGGCACACCACGACGCCTCCCAAATTAGCCGTGCGGCGCCCTCCCCTCCTCCATGTGCTCTCAATCAGATGCGCGATGCCCTTCCCTCACTGCGGTTGCTCCCTCGCTGACGCGGACCAACGATGCGACTGTTGGAGATGGGCGGGCACCGACGCCCAGGTCCCGCGACGTTGGGCACGAACACACACACACACACGTCTTCCGGAGGCCCCTGTTTCTGGCATTTGCGGCTTCTTCAGCATCCCATAGTGGCCCAGCGTGCCGGGCTTCACGCGACGTGGCCTTCCCTGTGTGATGACACTGCGGGCGATGACGACCTGCTCTGCTCTCCACAGCTAGGTGGCGGCGTTGGGGTCGACGGCTGGCGGGGCCAAGGCTGGATGGTTTTGTCGTTGTGTTCCTGGTGCTGGCAATGCTCCTGCTGGCAAGGTGTTTGCGGAAAGGGGAAATTTATTGCAACACACTACAAAGATGTGGCTTTAGCCGTAGCACACTCTAACTATCGAATTTAGCTTGGCACACTCAAAAGTGTGGTTTCATATCTGCAATACACTAAACAGAGAAAAAGTAATTTTTCATCTTTTTTTCTATCTCATTGCACGCAATACATAACAACTTCAAACTATGCACATTGATACATTTTTACATTCTCTATCCATGTGTTTTTTCACAGATCTTTTCATGATTATTTAAATAACATTTAACTGAGAATAACTTTTGTTTTGTAAAACAAACTATGTGAACAATTACCAAAAAATCTGCAAAAAATCACATTGATAGAGAATGCATCAATGTATCACTGTACAAAATTTCAAATTAGTAAGTAATGGGGGCAATTGTGTTTCTACCATCACTTTGTTGTTCCATTGTGATTTTACCCCCGAATCTGCGGTTTTGTGATTTTAACATAACTTTTTGAAACTGAACTAAGTTTCTACCATGACTCTGTTAGTTGCACTTTAACGGTGTTAAGTAGTAAGGAAAAAGACCAAATTGCCCCTTTCTTCCTCCTCCATTTCTTTCTCCACCGTGACCGTTGGCTCCGCTCACCCGGCATCTCCACATGCCCGTGACGCCTCCCCGCGCGCCAGGGTGAGGGCGGGCGGGAGAGCCAGGGGCGACGCGCATGAGGGAGCGGGGCCTATGAGCGACGCGCGCTGACTGCAGCGGGGCTTGGCAGCGGCGAGGAATTCCCCGACAAGCTGCAGCCGTGCTTCTCGGTGGGGAGCGTCCTCACCTGTAACCGAGGACTACGAGGCCTTCCGCACGATTTGCTCCTGCTGCTGCAACATGTATAACAACCCGCTTACCTGCCGCGCATCAAATTGCAATCAAATTGAAACGAAATTGCAGCCAGGTTGAATCGATGTCGCCGCTGCTTCTCTCAATTGCTCAATTGCAGTCAAGTTGAAATGAAATTGGAGCCTGGATTAAACGTTTCCTCATATCAATCTTACGTCGTTGCAAAAAAAAGGAAAAAAAATCAATCTTGCATCTGAATGGCTAGGAATAGGATAGCTCCAGGCCATCAAGAACAAAAGCAACGCAACGCAAGGCTGCAGCAAAGCGGACATGGCGGTGTGGGGCTGCAGGCGCGGGCAGCACGGAGAGACGGGCGACGGCGGCTCATCGACGCATGTGGCTCAGGGGATTGCGGCGGCTCGACAGCGAGGGACCCGCGAGCGCGCATGGCCGCGGTAGCTTGGCGGCGCAGGGAGCTTGGCCGTGGGGCCGCAGGGGCTTGACAGTGCGGGGCTGCAGGTCCATGGCGGCCTGGATGCACGGCGCAGCAGGGAAGAAGGAACAGGCCGCGTACTGGGTCGGGGGCAGTTTGGTCAGGTTGGGTTTTTTTTCTGTTTGTTTTAATTTGTTTATTCCCTTCAATCAAACTGATGGTAAACGGCAGTTTCATGTTCACATACTGATGGTAAAATCACAAAAACGCAGATTCGAAGTTAAAATCACAATTGGATCTCAAATTGATGGTAAAAACATAATTTTCCCGTAATGTATTATGTGCAATGAGATGCAAAAGTTGAAAAAAATCACTTTTTCCTTGTTTAGTGTGCTGTAGCTATGAAACCACACTTTTTGAGTGTGCCACAGCTAAATTCGAGAATTAGAGTGTGCTACGACTAAAGCCACGTCTTTGTAGTGTGTTGTAGTAAATTTCCCCTTCGGAAATAACTAGGTAGAGAGGTGAAGGGGAAAGGAGGAGGTGCAGGGACGGTGCTTGGTTCGAAATTCAGCAAGGGCCAACTAGTGGACAAAAATTTGAGAAAGTTCTTATTTACATGGTGAAATTTACCAATTTTCTTGGGCCAGGGGCCACGGCCCACTTTGGCCTCTGTAGGGGTGGTGAAGATGGCATGGTGGGGTCTATGAGATATAGGGGAACGGTTGGAGACTCATGCATCAAATTCTGGATGAATTTTAGAGGAACTGATGAAGTTGTTCTTATAACTGAAGATTCTTACGCATATCTTAAGGAGTTCATGCCTAGAGCATGCGTGCCGTCGCGCTGTGGTTGTGGCATACTGCTTCGTCATGGACTTTCAGTGAGGTTGCTAACGCTGCTGAGTCTTTCAGACGAGTTGAGTTCTTCGTGCAAACCCTCGTCCAGTGTTGGCTCGTCGGAGACGACTTCTCACCGCTGCCTGTGCACACTTGCCGAGCATGTGGGCTGCCGTTACAGTCTCTCAAGTCCCTTGCGCACGCTGCAGTCACAAACGTTTGTCCAGTTTCTGGACCGGTTTGGTAGGTAGTCGGTATCGGTAAAAGTGGTCAAAAACCAGTGGCATGCAGTTCCGTCGGCTCAGTCGATAATGTAAGCCTTGGTCACAACTGGGCACCAACATGGGAATCTAAATAATTGCAGTTGCAGATACGGGAGTGTTTGCAGGAACACCCAGATATGCACTTGCCAACATGTATGCGATATCAGTCCACTTTATTACAGAAAAAGTCTAGAAACTCCATTCTTTTGTATACCACTGCTTCTATATTCCATGGAATAAAACAAATTGGTATCGATCTAACCATTTTATTTTCTGGAAATTTGATAGATTTGGGCGCATTGCTGTCATTTAGCATAGTAATGTTGTTGAACAGATGCGCTAAGTCTGATGAGTACTAAAAAATTGTATTTATATAATTCAAATTGGCGGACATATTAATTATTATTTTGAAAATATTGTGGTCCACTATATAATATCTATCCAAAGATGAGTACTATTATTTTGCAAATTTGTATCAAGGCATAAAAGGGAAAAAAAAACAACACAAACCATTTAACTCGGTTTTTGCAAACAATATTTGACTAATTGCCGGTTAAATATAGAATGAGTTACCTCGGCAGCTAGATCCTTAACAATGAGCCATTTATCGTGGAGCATGCCTCGGGCTTCTCTTTGTCTGAGAAACTCATATGAGAAAATCCTAGCACGTTGCAGAATATCTTCCCCCGGGAAACTCATCTGGGAGGCTTTATTGAGGCTGTACATCCCTGTGATAGCTTGACTTGATTGCCCCTCAACACAAAAGAACTCCCCATCCGTCTCAAAATTTTTAAATACACCTACAACAAGACAAAATTTTTGTTAGAGTTGGAAGAAAATTATAGTGGGGTTGAAACGAAATATGAAACAACTATGAAGATTTCTTTTTTGTATTACTTGAGTTGATCTGGCTTTTCATTGCATAGCCATAAACTAAGAGGACCTTTGTGGTACTTAATATTCTATGATCCAACGTTTGCCTTGAGAAATGGCACTCCCTCCGGTTTTAAATATATGTCACCGTTATTTTATTGTTACTTTGACCATTCGTTTTATATATAAATATTTATGCAAATAGATAAATATATTTGTTTTAACCTTAAACTACCTTTGATGATAGATCCAATGAATTTATTCCATGTTAGGTAACTAATTACTAAAATACATTTTTGATCAAATTTTAAAGAAAAGTCAATGGTGAATGGTTTATTTACTTGGGGAGACATCATATCCACGCAGTTGGCTATTTAATGCGGGTTTGCGCTCAAGTCAACAAAGACATACATTATTAACTTATAGAGAAAATTCCTTACATGGCCTCATAAAAAATGCAGCTGCCTTCCATGGCCCTTCCGGATTTGAACTTCCCTATAAAGACAAATACAAATTTTTGGTTCCTTCCGTTGGCTCTAGCGCTTGATGGTGTTAAATGAAGAGTAAAAAGACAATTTTACCCCTGATTTGAAATGTACTCAGTTATTTTCAAAAACCGTGTGAATGTGAGTATTATGGATTAAAGTATGAAATAATTATCATTATTAAAAAACCAAGATATATAATTTCAAAATACAAATAAACCAGTTAATTAGGACTCACATTCACACGTTTTTTTGAAAATTACTAAATTACATTGAAATCAAGGGTAAAATTGTCTTTTTATCGTCAGTTAGCACAATGTTAGAAGGGCCACACAGAAGGAACCGAAAATTGGTTTTGGTTCTTATAGGGAAGTTCAAATCTGGGAGGGTCAAGGAAGGCAGCTACATTTTTTTTAGGCCATGGAAGGAAATTTCTCTAATTTAGAAGGAAAGGTTTATTTACTTGGGGAGACATCATATCCATGCAGCCGTAGCACTCGGAAAGCCATAGCTGTGCAATCG